CTGGCTGTTGTTTTCAAGATGGAATAAATCAGCCTGAGAAAATCAGAACAGTAGGACAGCACAGTGACAAAGAGGAGAAACAGACACACGGAAACAGAGGAAGACAGATTCAAAGGGGAAGAGAAGTTCAAGACAAAGAGGAGAGGAAGACGTATTTCAAAGAGAAGGAGAGAGACTAGAAACAGTTCAAATCCTTGCTGAGAACCATGTTTTAAAGACAGATTTTTTTAAGTTAATTGAGCCAATCAACTCATTTTCTGTCACATGCTGATGAAAGAGACCTTGTATGTAGATCATTTAAAATGCAACTTGAGGGAACTAGCCTTGTGGCATAGCAGGTTAAGCAGACCCTTGCAATGACAGCATCCCCTATCGCAATGCAGGCTGCAGTCCCAGTAGCTCTCCTAATCCAGCTCCCTGCTAATGTGCCTGGGAAAGCAGTGGAAAATGGCTCAAATAATTGGGTTCTGCTATCCATGGGGAGAACTGGGTGGAATTCAAGGCTGGTTTCAGCCCCCAGCCTTCACAGCCATTTGGGGAGTGAACCAGTGAAAAGAGGATCTCCCTCACATGATCTTTAACTCCTGTCACTCTACCTTTCAGATAAAATCATTTTTTAAAAGAAAAGGCAAGTCCTGTGGCACAGTGGGTTAAGCCACCATTTAGGGTGTCCACCTTCTTTATGGGAGTGCCCATTCAAGTCCAGGCTGCTCTGCTTCCAATCCATCTTCCTGCCAATGCACCGTGGAAGGCAGCAGATGACAGCCCAAGTATTTGGTTTGGTAAAAATATATCATTTCTGTCCTCTCTGTCTCTCCATCTCTCTCAACCCCTCAACTCATGTATACTCAGATACTTGTATCACATAGACCTGTACATTTATTTCACAAAAGTAGAATTATGCTAAACAGAAAAGTCTGATACTTACACTTTTTTCATTTAATGCTCCAGTGATTTCTTATTAGGACAACATACTCAACTATTTATCATGATTTTTAATGGCTACATTATTTTCCACATTAAAGATCAGTACTCTATTAAATCTACTTGGTTGGTTTCCATTCACCACGCAACTTTAGATTTCAAAAAGTCAACTATGTTATTAGAAAAATTTTAACACAGGTTTTGATTTCCCATGCTCCACACTATATAATGAATTTATTTTAAACTATGCTTTGCAAATTATTTTTAATGAGGTGATAAACTTTGATTAACAGGATTGAATTCTCAAAGCACCAAGAAGCACAGTGGATTGCAAATGGCAGTTGGTGAAACACATTGTATAATATTAAAGGAGTCCTGCATTTTGCTTTGATCCAAGAATCTGCCATCTGGGAAATACTAAGAATCAAAGGGAACATTGTTATTTCAGAGGCACTGGCCTACATCAGTCATCCCTGGAGACTCATGGCAGCTTTAGGGAGTAGGACTGGCCTCTTTCCAGGAATCATAAGGTTGGTGATGACATCGCACTTCCGTGAGACACTCTGTGCTGTGGGCCAGCCTTGCCCTTGCCTCACCCAACTGTCAGACCAGAAGGGACATGAGAAAAACGAAACTAGGTAATAAATAAACCCATACTATTCCAGGCTAAGTAACTGCCCTACCATGTTCAGGCGGGATGAAGCTTCAAACTCAGAGTACCATTCTGTAAACAGGGTTTACTAGAAAAATAATTGGCAAGTTTCCCAGGTTCATTTAAGAAAACAAAATGAAACAAGGGCATCTGATTTAATCTTATTTATAGTATTGGAGTTTTCAGAGTCCACTATCAGAGAAAGGAATGCAGTTACTGACAGCATGAAAATGTGATGAGTAGCAGGCCGGCGCCGCGGCTCAATAGGCTAATCCTCCGCCGTGCGGTGCCGGCACACTGGGTTCTAGTCCTGGTTGGGGCGCCAGATTCTGTCCCGGTTGCCCCTCTTCCAGGCCAGCTCTCTGCTTTGGCCAGGGAGTGCAGTGGAGGAAGGCCCAGGTGCTTGGGCCCTGTACCCCATGGGAGACCAGGAGAAGCACCTGGCTCCCGCCTTCGGATCAGCGCGGTGCGCCAGCCATAGCGCGCTGGCTACGGCGCCCATTGGAGGGTGAACCAACGGCAAAGGAAGACCTTTCTCTCTGTCTCTCTCTCTCACTATCCACTTTGCCTGTAAAAAAAAAAAAAAAAAAAAAATATGTGATGAGTGTTACATTTGTTCAGCAGTGTTTGCCCAGAACCTAAATCAGGATTCATGTAGGCAATCCCTGGTTAAGCATCCATCCCCCCAGGAAAATGCAAGCTCCTGGAGGGCAGTGACTTTGCTTTGTTCAGAGATGTGAAGTTCCTCCCACTAAAGGAGAAAGAGAAATTAATTACAGAAATAATTTTAATCATAGTGGCACTGAGAAGGAGAAGAACGGATTTGATGGGATCGGAAAGGACTTCTGCAAGTATAAAAGGACTAAACAAAAATCTAAAAGTCACACAGGAGATGAGGGGGCCAAGTAAACGTCCAGGCAGAAGGAGGAGCCAAGGTCCTGAGATGGCTGCACACGATGCACTGGAGAAAGAGGTAAGGCCCCAGCGGCTGAGCCTAGAGGTGAGTCTGGCAAAGGCCACAAGTGGAGCTGGGGACACAGACAGGAAGCAGCTGGTGAAAATCCCTCTAGGCCGACGAATTTGCTCTTGATCCTCAGTGCAATGAACAGCCGTTGGATGGCTTAAAGCAAAGAGCAACAGGATCAGAGCTGCATGTTTAAAGACAGCTATTTGATCTCGTGAGTGACAGGTGCATTGGAGGAGGAGAAAATAGATTTGGTGAGAGCAATTAGGAGGTTACTGCAGTGATTTATGCAAGCCATAATGTTGGTTTGAACTAGATTATAGAAGATAGAAAATACAGCAGCAACTGTTGAGGAAGGAAAGCCAGTAGGACTTGTCATTACTTAAAAGTAGAAGATAAGGAAAGACCCCACCAAGAATTACTACCTGGGTTCTGGATGCTACAGCTGCCTGAGCAGCCATTCACTGAGGTGGTGCAAGTTTGAGCCATATGGATAGTTACAAGACACTGAAGTCAACAACCACTTTCACTAAACTTTACTGCGGAGCCAGTGCTATGCTTGTGTAACTTATTCCTAATTACAATTGTATGGAATAGGTGCCGTCTCTATGTGTTAGAGATAAGGAGACAGACTCAGAAAGGCTTAGTGCCTTGAGCAAAGTGAAAAATTGGCGCAGTGGGGATCAGAACCCAGATCTCTGCAATTCTAAAGCAGATGGTGCTTAATAAACAACCGATATGCCTCATGCCAACTCAGGCCTACGCAGGGCAAAGCTGGAAATCTGCAAGTCTGAGGCCAAACCTTCCCAAGGAACCTCTAAAATAAATTCTGCACACCACACAAGTGGTTCTAGTCTTTCATTCATTCTTTATTCCATACCTAGGGCATTTTCTTCCTCTTGACTTTGTCCAGACCCTGAGGTTGCCTCCAACTAGCTCCTCTAGCTCTAGCTCCTCAATATTGCCTTTTCTGCATTTCCATAACACTTTCAGTCTTGTCACTCATTTTAATGATCACCCACAATTTACACTGCAGAATTTCCATTTTTTTTCTACTTTCATTAATTTTACTTTCTATAGCATGGACTTGCATGTGGTATATGTTGATTGTCTTAAGAAGTCTTTAATAAACTGCACTCAGATTGGTTGCTGTAAAAAGCTAAAAAAAAAAAAAAAAAAACCTCAAATTTCAAACTGTGATAGGTGATGGGCCTGGCTGCTGGCCAGTAGTTCAATTTTACCACCTTCATTATCTCTAGTGATAAAGTGCTGTTCATTATAATTCCATGTAGGTTAAGCGCATTCAATTGTATGTTCTTACCAGAACAGTTTCAACAGAGCAGGTTATACATGTGCCATTCCAATTGATTGGTATGTGTCTCACAAGAAAAGAAATGAACCTGCTGTTCCCTCAGCTGGTTTCAGTCACTAAGGGCCTCCTTCAGTGCGTGTGAGCCTCTAGGAAGACTATGATTTGGGTTTGTAATGGTAAACATTTAGGTATACCATAATCTCTAAATCCCGTCATCTACTTTTCCTAACCCTCAGTGACAGAAACTGATTTATCACAAAGCTGGCAGAAAATTTGGGTCTGCTGGGCTACTGAAGAGGCAGTAAGAGACTGTCTCTGATAATTCTGATAATGTGTAATGTTCACCCCACACTTTCTTTTGTGAAATCACTCTCAAGATATGACTGCACTGACAGAAGCATATGTTCTTGTAATCATTTGACTTTTAAATTGCAGTCTGCCTTTATAATTGAATACAAATGATCAGGAATTAGAGAATGAAAAGTGCTTACACAAATGATATAAATATCTATCTTGTACAAAAGGAGCAAAGATGGAAACTGTTAGGTCTCCTGAAGTCAAACTTGAAGAGAAACAACAAAATCATTCAACAGGAAGGAAATGCTAGACCCAAGTCCAAAGATGAGCCATTATTAGGGATTTTATTATCCTTTTCACTTTCTGGGACAGCATCTTCACAATTGCATACCTGTATCTAACACACATTTTGAAAGCTGTGATGCAGGCGTATTTTGCAGGAAAAGGTCATGCTCAAACACGAGGTCACTATTACTCTGAACCACCCCTGATGCCCATTGTGCATATGTATTCTTGCCACTCACCTCCCTCAGATTTTTGTTCATGCCATCCATGTATAATTGGGAGTTCTACATAAATAGGGTCACTGATAAATATTGCTATCTAGACTGTAAGCTTCTGGCCAGCAAACTCTAGATCTTACCAATCTCTGTATCTACTGTGTCTTAGAAAGTACTTGACTATCAAGGGCCCCTTTTTGAGATCTGGGGAATGAATGAGCAACAGAAAAACCAAACTGACCTCCTTGACATTCACACAGACTCATGAATTAGGGAAGAAATGCCAGCCCAATATCCATCAGGTCATTGTCTCCAGCATGGAGCTCCACTGTGCATATTGATTGTCCTTACCTATCCAGAGAAATGCAGCACAGGTGAAAAATTGATGCCGTTGTGAGCAGGACGTCCAAAGATGTGCGGACCAGGCAGAACATCTCCCCATAAATCCAGATGTCTTGGACCAGCTCAATGGCACCAAAGGGCATCACCAGCACGGAAACCAGCAGATCCGCAAAGGCAAGAGATACAATGAAATAATTGGTTTTTATTTTCCTGTGAGTAAAAAGGTATGAGGGAGGAGTCAGGATGAGGGACAGGGGAAAAGGAGACAATGAAGGAAAAGGGCAGTGTAGAAAGAAGGAAAGACAAGAAGAAGGAAAAGGAAAGAAAAGTCGCATGTTTAGTGTATTGGGTGAGATAGTTGCCCCTTTGGTAACAGGGCTGAGAAGACACAAGTCCAACCTCTTCTGATGTATTAGGCCTTGTACCACAAACCTTTCCTTCCTCTTCCATGGGCAACTTTGGCCTGAGCTGAGGTCCCCATCTGTTGACCTCCCTCCCGCAGATTTACACACAGGTGCTTTTGTACAACTATTGGCTGGTTAGCTCCCACCTAGCCTCCTTGTGGTTGAATCTTCTCTGACAATCCTCCCAGGGTGCTTCCCTTAAACTCCTATCAAGTTCCAAACTTTCCACTTTTAGACCCACTACCATGCCTCACATTTGTGACGCTGTCAGAATTGCACCTTTATACTATACTTGGCTCATCATTGCTTTATCTTAAGTCTTGCTTAGACAGAAGCTGTATTTTTATCCCCAATGGCTCTTAATCCAGGCTGTGTGATAGAACATCCAATAATTGAACAAGTATTGATATGCAGGTCCCATTCCAGATCAATTAGTTCAGGAACCCTGAATGGTTAACCTTCCTCCCACACCCAAAGACTGCCAGACAAGATACAAGATACCCAATTAACTCTGAACTTCAACAATGAATACTTTTTTGGTGCAACTATGTCCATTGGCATGAGACACTCTGATAAAATAGAAAGAGAAGACCCAGGTTAATTCCTACATCAGTCATTAGCCAACCACCCTTTCCCTGAGCGATTCATAAAGAACAAATATGACATAGGAAACAACACCGTCAGGAAATAAACTGAAGTGCTTACACTGGTTGTGTCCAAGTTGTAGTACTATGTGGGATTCTTTCTTCCTTCTCTTACAGATGTTCCCACTTGTTCTTTTTAAATTACAAATTACAATAGAAATATTTATACCAGCTCTCCAGGGACAGTTCGGGACTCCACCCATGTTTCCCCAAGAGATCTCCTCCTACTGCTTACCTGAGCTGCCTGTCTCTGCACACAGCCACCATCACCAGCAGATTGCCCAGGATGGCCATCAGTATAACAGCTGAGAGAAACGTGAGCAGCACAACCTTCTCCACTGACCCGAAACCCTCCTTGGAACTAGAAGACACGGACACACAAATGCAAAGACTTGGAGAAATCGAAGAGACATAGCAAAGTAAATGCACCCTCTCCTTGCTGACCTTCAGGAAGGTAACCACCATCAGCAGGTACAACATACATTAATTTATTGTACACCTGATGTATGCCAGGGTATGCACCTATCACTTGGCACGTTATCATGGTAAATCGCTATATAATGAGGAGGCTGAGATTCAGAGAGGCGAATTAACTTAGCTGCAATTGCACAAATATTGTTTATCAGAAACTTGTGACTTTCCCTCGGAGTACTTACCTCTGCTTGTACTCAGAAATGTATTTAGTTGATCTCTGTTTTGTATACCTACCCAACTAGATTCTAAGGTCCATGAGACATAGTCCTGTGTTGTCTTATTCACCAGTGTTTATTCAATGTGTCATTCCCATTTATTAGGTGAAGAAGGTGTTGAATGAAAGAATGATAGTAACTTGAACCAGGGTCTTCATGAACTCAACAAAGGGTGATCCTGTTTTCCTAAGCTATTCCAGTTCATACAGGAGCTGCTGTTTACAGATAGTCTGTCTCAAGGCACAGAATACCATGGTATTAAAGCCGTTCCGAAATCAGTTCACCTGGGGCTGGTGCTGTGGCACAGCAGGTTAAAGCTCCAGTCTGTAGTGGCAGCATCCCTCCATATGGGTGCTGGTTCAAGTCCTGGCTGCTCCACTTCCAATCCAGCTCTCTGATATGGCCTGGGAAAGCAATGGAAGATGGGCCCTGTACCCCTGTGGGAGACCCAGAGCAAGCTCCTGGCTTCGGATTAGTCCAGCTCTGGCCATTGCGGCCAATGGGTGAGTAAACCAGTGGAGGGAAGACGTTTCTCTCTCTCTCTGCCTCTGCCTTTCAAATAAGTAAATCTTAAAAAAAAAAAAATCAGTTTACCTGGACCATTTACTTTGATTTTTTGACAATAGCCATGTATATGCTCAGAGAATCCTTTCACTGTCCTGAACAATACTTCTTTTAGAAAAAAAAAAGGCTTATGTTGAGCACTAAAGATTTATTTATTTATTTGAAAGGCAGAGAGAGAGAGAGATTCTTCTGGGTCTCCCACACGGATGCAGGGGCCCAAGGACTTAGGCCATCTTCTACTGCTTTCCCAGGCCATAGCAGAGAGCTGGATCGGAAGGGGAGCGGCCGGACTCAAACCAGTGCCCAGATGGGATGCTGGCAGTGGCAGCTTTACCCGCTAAGCATCTGCAACGGCCCACAACATATGCATTTTTTTCCCACATTAAATTTATGTTTTGTCAGAGAGAGAGAGAGAAAGGTCTTCCTTTTCCGTTGGTTCACCCCGCAAGTGGCCACTATGGCCAGTGCACTGTGCAGATCCGAAGCCAGGAGCCAGGTGCTTCTCCTGGTCTCCCATGCGGGTGCAGGGCCCCAGCACTTGGGGCATCCTCCACTGCACTCCTGGGCCACAGCAGAGAGCTGGCCTGGAAGAGGAGCAACCAGGACAGAACCGGCACCCCAACCGGGACTAGAACCCAGGGTGCTGGTACCCCAGGCGGAGGATTAGCCTAGTGAGCCGCGGCGCCGGCCCTAGCCTTCTATTTAACTCGGAGTGAGTGTCCCCTATCCATGAAAGCACAATATCTGTAGGTTATTCACAAGCTCTGGGAAAGTTTAAGGAAAATATTCTTACTGATGAAGTTTTAAAGAATCCTAAAACCACTAGATTGAAATCCCACATTTCAGTATGGAAAAACTGAGACTCAGGGAAACTGAGTTGTCACCACACAGTTGTAGCTGGCCCGGAGAGCTACTTTTGCTATGAGCCCTCAATGTGAACAGGGTCTGGGGCTTGTTAACTGAGCTCCTCTGATAGAGCATCAAGAGAGCTACTGCGAGTCAGTATTGTGGCGCTGCAGCCTGCAACACCCTGGCATTTACCCAAAAAACAAAACAAAAAATCAGCAAACTAAAAAACAGTGTCAGATTTATGGGATACTATCAAATGACCCAACAAAGGGGTCGTAGGAGTTCCTGAAGGCATGGAATGATAGAATGGATTAAAAGGTCTTTGCAGTAAAATAGAGAAAAATTCCCTCATTTGGAGAAAGGGGACATCCAAGTACAGGAAACACATAGAACTCCTAATAGACATGACCAGGTAACATCTTCACAATGACACATTGTAGTCAAACTCTCCACAGTAAAGCATGAAGAAAAGATTCTAAAATGTGCACAAGAAAAACACCAGAGTACTTCCAGACAATCTCCGGTTAGATTCACAAAGGCTTCTTATCAGAAACCCTACAGGCTAGGAGAGAGCCAAAAATTTCTGGAAATGAAAACTCACAGGATACAGCAAAAGCAGTGTTAATAGGAGAGTTTACAGCAATTAGGGCCTTCATCAAGAAATTGCAAAGGCACCAAATAAATGAGCTATCAATGCATCTCAAGGATTTAAAAAAGCTACAGCATACCAAGCCTGAAAGTAGAAGAAAAATAATTGAAATTAGAGAATAAACCGAATTTAATCCAAAAACACATTACAAAAGATCAGCAAAATGAAGAGCTGGTTTTTTGGAAAAAAAAAAAAAAATCGACACACCATTGGCCCAACTAACCAAAAAAGTAGAGAGAAGACCCAAGTCAATAAAATCAGAGATGAAAAAGGGAATGTAACAACAGACACTACAGAAATTCCTACAAAGAGCTATATGCCAACAAACTGGAAAACCCAGAAGAAATGGACAGATTCCTGAACACATAAAACTTAATTAAATTGAGCCATGAAGACACAGGAAATCTAAACAGACACATAACCAAGATAGAAACGGATTCAGTAATGAAGACCCTCCCAACGAAGAAAAGCCCAGGACAGGATGGCCTCACTGCTGAATTCTACCAGACATTTAAAGAAGAACTCACTCCAGTTCTTCTCAAGCTATCAAAACAATTGGAAAGGATGGCATCCTCCCAACTCCTTCTATGAAGCCAGCATCACCTTAATTCCTAAAGCTGAAAACAAAAACCAACAGAGAAACAGAACTACAGAAAGAGAAATACCAACTTCCCTATTGAATACAGATGCAAAATTCCTAAACAAAATACTACCCAAATGAATTTAACAATACAACAGAAAGATAATTCACCCAGACGAAGTGGGATTTATCCTAGGTATACAGGAATGGTTCAACATTGACAAACCAATCAATGTGATATATCACATTAGCAAAATGAAGAACAAAAAAACCATATGATTATCCCAGTAGATGCAGAGAAAGTGTCGCTCCCCCTCTTCGTGGAGGAGCAACACTAAACCCTGCCTAGGCTTCATATCCGAGTCACCGCACCATTATGTCGCTCCCCCTCTTCATGGAGGAACGACACAGGACCCTGTGCTGTTCTTTCGTCTGCTCGGCCCTCCCCGGGTTTGCTGCTGGTTCTTCCTGGGTTGGCTACTATCCCTTCCACCTCCGTGGAAGGGCAGTTCCCCCTGGCCACATTCCCCACTTCCGCAGGGGAGCGGCACACCGCCGGCCGGCTCTCTCGGGGGCTGCACAGGTGTTCCCTTAGATGTTCCCCTTAGATGTTCCTCTTAGATGTTCCTGGTGCATGCCGTCTCTCTCCTCCTTTATAGTCCTCCTCTGCCAATCCCAACTCAGCTGCCCACACGCCGAGTACGCTGCTCTCCTCCAATCAGGAGCAAGTCCTACAGTTTATTGGCTGAACTGGAGGCAGCTGTGTAGAAGCTGTTTTCTCCTCTCCCAGCGCCATATTGTGGGAGAGCAGATGCATAGAATAAGTCTTAATTCCAGTAACTTAGTCTAGTCCGAGTTGCTCCCCACAGAAAGCATTTGACAAAATACAACACCGTTTCATGATGAAAACCCTAAGCAAATTGGGTATAGAAAGAAAGTTCCTCAACACAAAGCAATTTATGACAAACCCATATGGCCCATGTCCTGTTGAATGGGGAAAAGTTGGAAGCATCACACTAAGATCCAGAACCAGACAAGGATACCCACACTTAGCACTGCTATTCAGTATAGTCCTGTAAGTTTTAGCTAGGGCCATTAGGCAAGAAACAGAAATCAAAGGGATACAAATCGGGAAGGGGGAAGTCAAACTATGCCTAATGCAGATGACCCGATTCTATACAGAGGGATCCAAAACACTCCACTGGGAGACTTTTGGAACTGATAGATGAGTTTGGTAAGTGGCAGGATACAAAATCAACACACAAAAATCCAGAGTCTTAGTTTACACACAATGCCATGGCAAGAAAGAACTTCTAAGATCAATCTCAATCACAATAGCTACAAAAATAATCAAATACCTTGGAATAAATTTAACCAAGCATATTAAAGATCTCTATGATGAGAATTACCAGACATTCATGAAGGAAATAGAAGAAGATACCAAAAAAATGGAAAAATCTTTCATATTCATGGATTGGAAGAATCAATGTCATCAAAATGTCCACCCTACTAAAGCAATTTACAGATTCAATGTGATACCAATCAAAATAGCAAGCACATCCTTCTCAGGTATAGAAAAGATGATGAAACTTATATGGAAACACAGGAGACTGTGAATAGCTAAAGCAATCTTATGCATCAACAACAAAGTTGGAGGCAGCATCACTATACCAGATTTCAACACCTACTTCACAGCAGTTATAATCAAAACAGTCTAAAATGGGTACAAAAATAAATGGGCAGACCAATGAAACAGAACAGAAACACCTGAAATCAAGCCAAGCATCTGCAACCAACTTACCTTTGGCAAAGGAACTAAACTCAACCCCTGGAGCCAGGACAGTCTCTTCAACAAACGATGCTGGGAAAACTGGATCTCCACATGCAGAAGTATGAACAATACCCCTACCTTACACCTTATACCAAAACTCATTCAAAATGGATTCAAGAACTAAGTCTATGACCTGATACCATGAAGTGATTATACAACATTGGGTAAACCCTGTAAGTCATTGGGATAGGCAAAGAGT